ATATATTTCTGATCCAGAAATCTCCAAAATGTGTAGTGGGGAGATGAGGAGGACATTGTTTTAATTCTTCCACCACAACTTCAAAAACTGTAATAGCTTTAGTAACTAAGAATAAAAGAAAATAAAACATTTTGTCATGTTATCATCGGTAGGGATGGCCTGGTTGAGTATTTGCAATGTGAATCAATCTGCTTCCATTGGTCATTTAAGGAAGTTAAAGAGACCTATTTAAACATGTTGAAAATGAACTATTTTGACCATAAGAATCAGAGACCTCTCTAGAGTTGCCCTTCGATCCTTCTCCAGCTGCCAATGCCTCAACATGAACCCCAAATTCCTAACACCATTTCCTTACATGTATTTATTTTTCCACGGGGAGATTCCGTGATTATACAAAGGAGCATATCTAATATACGTGTTATATCTGGCATAAAGAAGTCCTAGAATGGGAACTTTGAAAATCTAAAATGACAACACTGAAAACCACCATACACAGTGACTAACCAGATTCCACAGGTGTTCAAGGCATTTAAACAAATTCAATAACCCTCAAGTAGATGGCTTCTTACAAAACCACATGAGGGAGGTGAACAAGCAACTGAAATAAACTTGAGCAATGACAACACTGCTCACCCTCAGCCCATAAAGGGGCCAGTGGGTAAACTTGTTTATCTAGGCCAGTGGTTCTCAACCTTCCTAATGCCACGACCCTTTAATATAGTTCCTCGTGTTGTGGTGGCCCCCAACCATAACATTATTTTCGTTGCTACTTCATACTGTAATGTTGCTACTGTTATGAATCATAATGTAAGTATCTGATATGCAGGATGTATTTAGGCGACCCCTGTGAAAGGGTCATTCGACCGCCAAAGGGTCGCGACCCACAGGTTGAGAACCGCTGATCTAGGCAAAGACTAAGGAAGCTTTTCTTCAAGTTAGTTCAAGGGCATAACAGACACATGCTACATGACAACTAAATATCTCAAGGAAGTTACTCCAGTTGGCATAAATTGGTGTTACCTAGGTAAGTGGGAATCTAATGAGTTTTAGACGAGGCACTCAAAGGCCTTTATTTAAAAAATAATAAAGGGGGGGGGGGGAGGGAGCCATCTTGTCATCTTTTCTCCCTACTATCCTTAGGAATATTTCTCTCTACATAGTCCTTTCCACCTTGACAGAAATAAGAAGCAAACACCCATTACAGAGAACATCCTTTGTGTAAGGTGGAAACTTGGAGAGAAGAGCCACCCCTTCTTTGTGCTAATTTTTTCTTCCCCCAGCTGATCTCTGCTGTATCTCCTTAATGGCATTTTGCTTCAGTATCTTCATTCTTCCCTTCAGATTATGATGGGAGGTTATTCAGAACTTTTCTTTTTTGTCTTCCTTTTCCTACCTGCCATGAGTAACCTTCACTTTCCAAATAACCTACAAATGCTGCTTCCTCTGAAGATCCCCAACCTTCAGGGAAATCTCAAGAGGCTTCTTCAAAAAGTCATGAAACGGGGTGCAAAGGGGGCTCCCACACTTATTGCATCTTAAATATCAAAAGAAACAAAAGATTCCAACTCTAATGTAGGTAGAAGCACTAAGTTGAGGCACTCCATGTAGTAATATGAGAAACTACCAGGCTCCAAACTTTTCAAGGCATACTATTTTCTTGTCTACACCCTACCATTCTTCAATTCACAGAGAATCTCCGAATGTCCAGGGGAGGCCTGAGAACTCAGGTCAGAGTTTGGCCCTCACCTCTCAATCTCCACCCCACGCTCATTGGAATTTAGATGAAACCACACCTAGAGGAGGAGAAAAAGTGTTACCCAGGGAATTAGAGGCAAAACTAGAGCTTAGTCCTGGACCTCCCTTTTCCCAAAGCGCAGCTCTTTCTACTTCCTCTCATGATCGAATGACTTGATAAACTGAAGACTGATAACCTTGGAATCACATAACAGAACCAGCTGATAGCGTCTACCCCGAACGGAATCTCTGGGGGCTGGGGGCTTGGATCCCAGCTGTGGGGGAGGGGAATGCACTCACTGTTCAGGTTCAGCAAGGAGTCGTAGACTTTGCACTGGATCTGCCCGGTACTCTGCGACACGCAGGACATCCACAGCCCCTCGTAGATGGACTGGGCTGTCACAATGTTGTCGCCCGCATAGGAGTGAACCTTCCACTGGGGCATCGCAGTGCTGGCGATGGCTCCAATCCAGCCCACGAAGGCCAGGATGAAGCCCAGCAGTTGCAGCCCCGCGTTGGCCATGCTTCGCTCGGGCGCCCTGGCTGGCTCCGGGATCGCAGGTGCAGCAGGTGGAGTTTGCAGAGGCTCCGTCGGGGCTCCCGGGGGGTGGCGGAGCCGAGCGGGGGAAGTTTTTGCCGGGAGTCCTGCTCCTTGCGGCGCTACTGGAGAGATTCTAGGTCCGGGTCCAAGTCCGGGTTGGCGCTGGAGTCGGGGTGCGAGAAGCTGTGGCTGCTCCCAGGCTCAGGGAATGAGACGCCAACCTGCGGGGCACCGCATTTTAAAGCAGCTCCGCCCCCCGCCCAGGCGGGCCGCGGCGCAGCGCCCCCTGGCGGTTTCAGCCCGGGTGGCCAAGGTGCTCTGGGCTGAAAGGTCCAGCGCGGTGCGGGGACTACCTGAGTGGGAGTGGGAAGGCCAAGTGCTCCCGAGCTGTGCTTGCTCTCTCTCCTTTCTCCCCTGGCTCTCTTTTCTCTAGTTAGCCATCTCAGCTTCTCCATTCATTCAATTTGTATTCCCCCAAATTACAAAGTATGTGTAAACACTAAAAATGCAAAAGATGGGGGGGGGGGGTAAAAAGCCCTCATGAGACTCACAGTTTCAATTTGCAACTTCTTTTCACTGTCTTACTAAAAGGCATTCTCTATCTCTACTCCCCTCCCTTCGCCTCCCTCACCTGTCTCTCCCTCTGTTCAGCTTCCTCCCCCTTCTCCTTCCCTCCCTCTGTCCCCTCTTGCCTTCAAGGACTCTCCCAGAACCCTGTATTTCTGCATCACTATAGCACTTTATAGAGTAGGAAACTGAGACCCTGAAAGGAAACATGATTTCTATAAAATCACACAGCAAGTCACCAGCATGTCCAGCTCTTGGTTCTCAGCCCACTCTGCTTTCTACTACATCTCTATTGGTATATGTCCTTTAATTTATTATCATAGCTATGGAAATGCAGTCTACCCTCCCCCACTCCTGCACACACACACACACCAGCCTGGTCCCCCCATTTACACACACACACACACACACACACACACACACAAACACACACACCAGCCCGGTCCCCCCACTCCTACACACACACACATACACAAACACACACCAGCCCGGTCCCCCCACTCCTACACACACACACACACACACACACACACACACACACACACACACACACGGCAATTTGTCTTAGAGCAGCAATTCATTATAGGAGGGACCAGGACAACGCCCTTCCCCCCCTTAAATGCACACCTCCATAGGTGTTTCATTACTGAATTATCAGATGTTATTCACTGAAGGCAAGAGCATCTAAAGAGTGTCTCCCCAGGAGAAAGAGGACTGGGCTGGGAGGCCTGGAGTCTGGGTTCTGGCTCAGGGTTTGCAGTGACTGGCTATGGCCACCCCCTCAGGTTTTAGGTGAGCCTTTTGTTTCCTTCAATGGGTCTCTAAAGCTCCCTTCTCTGTAGTTAAGTGGTGTTGTGGTCTGGAATAATTAAAATGTTTTCCCAACTGTTTTTTGTGTGTGGTGTGAGTATGGTGGGAGGAGATGCTTCTACGGTTTTATGAAAAACAGGAGCACCTTGGAGGCAGAAGCAAACATGGAAGGAGAAAACAAGATATGCCTCAATGTAAACTGTGGGAGCTGCCAATTTGTGACAAGGAGGGAGCAGTAAAGAAGTTCAGAGTGTGAATAAGGAGAATGAAAAAACTCTACCACTTGGGGGATGTTGATAATAAGGGAGGCTATGCATGTGTGGGGGCCCAGACTACATAGGAATCTCTGTACCTTCTTCTCAATTGGCTGAGATCCTAAGACTGCCCTTAAAAAGGTATTTTTAAAAAGTTTATAAATAGCCTGGCCGCATGGTTCAGTGGTTGAGTATCAATCTATGAACCAGGAGGTCATGGTTCAATTCCCAGTCAGGTCACATGCCTGGGTTGCAGGCTCCATCCCCAGTAGGGGGTGTACAGGAGGCAGCCAACCAATGATTCTCTCTCATCATTGATGTGTCTATCTCTCTCTCTTCCTCCCTTTCTCTCCGAAATCAATAAGATTGTGTTAAAGAGTCTATAAATAAAAGTGAAAAAAACAAAAACCCAAAGCCCCACGCCTTCACTTCACCTGTATAGCTCCGGGTAACTTTTGAAGTTTTAAGTCCAAAGGAAAGGTCTGCAGAGAGATTTGGTGACTAGCAATGAAGAGGGGAAACACATGAGCTGAATGAAGAGACTTAATGAGGGGTAAGAAAGATTAAAACAAGCAAGCGCCGTCCTTCTGAAAGCCTCCCCAGAACCCAAGGCAGGCTCTAAGTCAGCTCTGCAGGGCAAGGTTGCATCCAACGCGAGTCCCCTGAGTCTAGCCTGAGGTCAGTAATTCTTTTTACGTCCCTCATGGATGTCCAGTGGCCATCCGTGTGTGTATGGATGAAAAAGTATCAATAACATTTGACTTACTTATTCCCCAAGATTACTGAGCTCAGAGGAGGCCCTTGGAATTTGCAGTCTGGCTAGAGCCCTACCATGTGAATCATATAATCTTTTTGTTGTTGTTGTTCCAATCAATTCAGACTTAAAAAAATATTTTAAAAACATTTTCTTTGTTGTTCAGATTGGATGAATGAAGACAAGAGTTGAGTTTAATAAATGTACTTGTGCACAGGACCTTTTAATCTACATAAAGGCCTGTTTCTAACAATCGATGGTTGGCAGGGCTTTGGAGGGATGAATTCTGTGGTCAGTAAGGCCCCGTGTTTTTGTTTTTTTATTCCAGGTCTCTCTGAGGCTGATTACTTCATCGCCCACAGCCGTGTTTGTGAGGCTGCGGTGGATGCTGTTTACGCTGCTGTGACCCATGCCCATCTCTGGCATCCCTAATCCTGTCTAGTTTTCTGTGTTTTCCTAAGAACTGGTAGGTGAGAGAATGGCTCAGCATAAATCTATCAACTGAAGAAGAAAACAACTTATGAACACTGGCCTTTCGTATAGGGAGCATAAACAATAGAGGCAGCTCTGTGACCAAGAAGTTTCTAGAAAGACTGACTATGGTATAGCAAATGTCCTGGCCTGAGGAATAGGAAAATCTGCTATACACCCTCAAATTCCTTTCTCGTTCTCAGTTTCCCTATTAATAAAAATTAGAAATTGACTTCTAAAAGGTCACTTGAGTCTAAAACTTTATGACTCTAAGTAGTAATAGCTGACACTTGTGAGTAATCTGCTGTCCTCACCCAGTGTTGAGCTATGAGTTTTAGATGCACTATCTCCTGTGTGAAGGTGACAGGGACACCAAAAGTCAGATCACGTAGCCAGGGTCATATTTGGCAATTGGCACCCCTGGGATTCCAAACTGCACCCATTGATCCGGTGCCCATGCTTTTAAGTACTGCCCTACATTAGTTCCCTGTGTGAACCAAATCGAAGAACCATTGACTTTTAGGGTTTAGCCAACTGTATCATGTGTTTCTTCCTCCAGGCAGTGGTGAGATGGTCCACTCTGCAACCGTCCTTCTGCTCCTTCCAGTCACTTCTCAATGTCTGCTGCTGCCCCCTAAGATTCTACACCAGGAGGATCCAGATCACGTGAGGGAGTGCTGCTGCCCAGAAGGGAAGTCTGGGTGAGAACAGCACATTGCCACTGGCTTACCCTATGTCCATATGTGACTGATGCTTGGGCTCAGCTATGATCCTGAGAACCAGGAAAAAGTAGAAGAGACACCCAAAGACATGAAAGTACAGGTGAGATTCAGGGTGCTAGAAGAGAGTGTGGACAAAGAAATACAATCCCAAGAGCCAGCTTGGCAGATTCTCAGGTATGGTTAAATAGCAAGAAAGCCTTTGGGATGTCAATTGTTCACTTAGCGACAATGCGTGTTAGCACTGACTTTTCAGGGCTTCTCAGGTGTTAAAAGCAGAATGGATGGGCACATTTCCTAGTAAACAGTCTGCAATCTGCCATGTAATTATTTAGGGCGTGAAAGAGGGATGAAAGTGCAAATGTGAAAATTTAACATGGATTTCAGGGTTACAAATGTGAGGGTTACTAATACTCAAAACCATTGGTCTTAACTACTTGAACAGTCCTTTGATTCTTTGGAGTTTTTGAGAGGGGAGTGAGGTATAAGTAGTTACAAGTACAAACATTTTGAAACCTAGTCCTATCACTTGCTAGTAGAATAACTTTGCAAAATTTATACAATGTCCTGTGCCTTTGACTGTTCCTATTTCAGGTGAGTAAAACTCTACTTCATAGTATTGTGGTCATTAAGCAAGTTGATACCTGTACATAACTTAGAACAGTAGTTAGCTTGCAAGCACATGGAATGATAGTTATTGTTTCAAGCAAAACAGATGCATTTAGCTTTCTAACCTTGCCATTTACAAATTATCCTCCCATTTGTTCAGAAAGACTCTTCTTTTCCTTGATTCTATTACAATCCCACTGGATGTCATAGTTAATTCAGGGTGACAGAATATGCAGCGTTTCTAACAAGGAGGTGCAATTTTGTGTTCAGAAATATAAAAGGCATCAATGAAAGGGATAGGGAATTTAGATGAGATTTCTAGGCCCCTTCTCCAGGTCCTAAACAGGTGTCCCCTTCAAGTCCTGTGTAGTTTCCATGGCTAGGATTTAAGGCTCTTTCTGAGATGGCGTGAACCAAGAACATAGGAAGGATGGAGATATAGTACCAAATTATTCTCTCTGCATATCAGTGATGCTCTTCAGAGGGTCAAGGGGAAAAATCCTTAGTGTAAGATTTAAAAGAATATATATGGTTCAAAGAGTAAGGGAGAGGGAGAGAGAGGGAGAGAGAGAGAGAGAGAGAGAGAGAGAGAGAGAGAGAGAGAGAGAGAGAGAGAGAGAGAGACCAATGATGAGAGAGAATCATTGATCGGCTGCCTCCCACACACCCCACACTTGGGATAAATCCTGTATCCTGGGCATGTGCCCTAACCAGGATTCAAACTGTGACCTCTTGGTTCATAGGTCAATGCTCAACACTGAGCCATCCTGGCTGGGCCTTAGTGTAAGATTTTTGTTAAGTCTTTGCCTTATTATCAGGTGGACTTTGTAAAGGCCCTTGGACACTCACCCTCAACTCCTAACCTAGCGGATCTATCTCTTTAGAAACAAAGAGGGGAAAGTAGCAGAATTTCAACCATAAGAAATCTACTTTTTAAGTTATAAAAATCTACTTTGAAATAAGCTGATGAAGATTACAATTTTTAATACTGTTCCTTACTTTATATCTTTGCTTGTGTTCTATTTGGGGAAAGGTTTCCTTTTTAATTATTAGGATATTAGAAACACCCCACTAATTTGATTATCAAGAATCAAGGTCAAATTACTAAGATATTTTACTTTTGATCTTCTTAATGGAACACTAACTGTATTAGTCAGTATTCTCCAGAGAAACAGAACTAATAGGAGATTAGATAGAAAGATAGATGACTCATAATAGATAGACTCATGCACTAGACATGATGTTATATGAAGAGAGATGAGAGAGAGAGAGAGAGAGAGAGAGAGAGAGAGAGAGAGAGAGAGATTTTAAGGAATTGGCTCAAGTAATGTGGGAGCTACCAAGTCTGAAATTTGTAGAGCAGGTCAGCAGGCTGGATTCTCAGGTGAGAGTTAATGTTGCTGTCTTGAATCACAAATCTTCTAGCTTTAAGGAGAATTTCTTTTTCTCCCCACCCCAGAAGTCTTTGCTCATAAAGCCTTCAACTGATTCGATAATGCCCACCCATATTATGGAGGTTAATCTGCATACTCAAAGTCTGCTGATCTAAATGTTAATTATATATAAAAAATATCCTCACAACAACATCTAGACTGGTGCCTGACCAAACAACTGGCCACCATAGCCTAGCCATGTGGAGACATAAAATTATCATCAAACCAACTAATGCTTATGATTATTTAGAGTCTAGGTATTTATTTATATGAACTCAATTCTCAGAAAAGCCAGTGAATTAACAACAATCAGTACAGATGAGGGAACCGAGGACCAAATAAGTAGTTTGCTCCAAGGTACTTAATGGGTAAAGGACAGAGTTGGCGTCCAAATTGAGTAGATCTGACTCTTGAGGCAGAGAACTTTGAGGAGGGCATTGTACTAATCTGAAGCCCAGGCCCATGTTCCTCCTCCTTTCTGACTCTCCAAACCACCCAGCACAGTAATATCCACAAGCTGAGTCTCAACAAGTCCCCAGATCAGAGTCATATCAGCTTGAGTAGTTGGTGCTCAGAAAGTGCTGGGTAATTAAGTGGATGAATGAACAGATGGATGGACCAGTGGAGAATGGATCTCCAGTCTTTGAGGTGAGGAATCTGAGACATTCAAACACATTGCTGAAGATATCCTGTTTTAGGTGGTGGTGAGTTGGGGGAGATAAAAACAAAAAGAGGTGGCAATGTAACAAAGATTACAATTTTTAATACTTGGTCTTTGGGATAAGACAGAATTAAAGATATGGCAATGCTTTCTCTCAGCATTAGAAATTACACTAGACAAGTTAATTAATCTCTCCATGTCTCTTTTCCCCATCTGTAAAATAAAACAAATATATGTAACTCACAGTGCTGTGAGAAGTAAACACATTGATAAAATGCTGAGCCCTGTACTGGGGACATGGAGAGTGCTTGATAAATGATAGCTGTACTGTAAGGAATGGGTGAGTGTCCCAAGGCCATAGAGCAAAGGCTGTTAGGCAGGCTGTGATTTCATCATGTTGAAGTTCTGTAAATATTTGAACTAAACAACCAGGTAAAGGAAAAACTTTATACTAAAATGTGGGGTAGTTACAGATGAGTGAACTGTACTAAGAAATGACCTGAATATGCAAATTTTAACTTCCCAGTAATTTTCATAAAGTAAATTACCTTTAACTTTATAAAACTATGTGATTTCACCTGAAAATGTAGATTCTGATAAAAAACGAGGTGGCCACACTGTGCAGCTCTAGATGGATTCTCTGGTTTCCCATTTTTCTACGTGTTTCTACTTTATTCATTGATGTCACTTCTCTGGATCCTATAGGCTTTTTGGTGTCAGCGTGTGCATAGAAAGTGCATGTAGTTAGTAGTTGAGTTGACCAGATTTGTATGCCATGATCAGGAGTGTGAAACTTATCATGCACTTGGCAATAAGGAGTGGATCACAGGATTTTTAACAGAAACTTGAGCAGACTTGTGTTTTAGAAAGATTTTGGGGGCTGCAGGAGGCAGAGACAGAAGTCAGTTTAATGGAAAGGCTGTGGAAATCATTCAGAAATGGGTAGATGAGTGGTTTTGACTGATGTTGAAGGCAGAGGCATTAGAACACAAAGAAGAGTGTACCTGTCTGAGATAGTGAAGATGAATTTTGTCTGCTTTAATGCCATTTTAGCATTGACTTCTGAACCAGGAGGTCACAGTTTGATTCCTGGTCAAGGTATATGCCCAGGTTGTGGGCTTGATCCTCAGTGTGGGGCATGCTGGAGGCAACCAATCAATGCCAATGATTCTCTCTCATCATTGATGTTTCTCTCTCTCTCTCTCTCTCTCTCTCTCTCTCTCTCTCTCTCCTCCTTTTCTCTCTGAAATCAATAAAAATATCCTATAAAATAAAGAGGTAATATGCAAATTGACCATCACACCTTCACACAAGATAGCTGCCCCCATGTAGTCTAAGATGACCACCACAAGATGGCCGGCAGGGGAGGGCAGCTGGGGGGGGGGGCAGGCCTGCAGGGGAGGGCAGTCGGGGGCAACTGGGTCAGCAGGGGAGGTCAGTTGGGGGTGATCAGGCTGGCAAGGGAGGGCAATTGGGGTCAATTGGGCCCGCAGGGGAGCAGTTAGGCATTTATCAGGCTGGCAGGGGAGTGGTTAGGGGGTGATCAGGCTGGCAGGCAGAAGCAGTTAGGGGCAATCAGGCAGGCAAGCAGGTGAGCAGTTGGGAGCCAGCAGTCCCAGATAGTGAAAGGGATGTCTGACTGCCAATTTAGGTCCGATCCCACAAGGATAGGTCCTAAACTGGCAGTCAGACATTCCCCAAGGGGTCCCAGATTGGAGAGTGTGTAGGCTGGGCTGAGGGACAGCCCCCCAGTGCACAAATTTTATGCACTGGGCCTCTACTATTAAACAATAAAAATAAAATTCTGGGTAGTTTACGTCACCAACACAGGACAGAGACATTATGTGTGTCCCTGAAGGAGAGCATTGGATGGGAAACAGAACACTGATTTCCTCTCTCAGTTTCAACCATTGCAAAGATGGAGGAGAAGCTGAATCCCTTGGATCTATACAGTGTATCAGACTTTAATATGGCTCCTTCCTGGGAGATTTTCAATGACAATTATATCATGCATGGTTTTAGTCTGTAAAATGTAACTGCTCTATTGTATGGAGGAATAATAAGATTTGGGATAGGGATGAATAATGGGCATTGAGATGATTTCCAATTCATATGTAGATACAAATGATGAAACTATGGTTATTTGGATATATTCTTGAGGGCAATAGAAAGACATGAAAAGGTGTTAAGTAGGAGCCAGACCTACTCAGGTTTCTCACCTTACTCTGAAGAATGGAGAATGGATTGTGGAGATGGACGGTGGAGGTTTGCAACTGTGC